TTTCTTCAGTTCTTTTATTTGTTTTTCCCTTTTGCTCCTCTCTAGCTTTAGAAGTTGTGTTCTAATTTCCTATTATTCGTTGGTTACTCTTAAATTTTAAGTATGCGTAACAACTCCTGGCTCAAACAATTCAAGGATCTTAGAATACCTTCACTCTAATCCTTTTCCCTTCAAACATACATAGCAGCATTGCCCAGTACCTTAGTCTGCCCCTTTTTTTAACTGCATAACTGAGGCTGACTATGTATGTTGAATAGATTTATACAACTGTTTCCCTGGTCTTTACTTATCTGGAAATGCCTTTGCTTTGCTTTTAATTCTTGGGAGATAGTTTTGATGGGTAGATGACATAAGGTTAACTATTTGATTTTTTTCTCAAAACTTTGAGTATTATTCCTTTGTCTTCCAGTTTTTATTGCTGCTAATAAAAAGTATGTCAACCTAATGTCTTTCCTGAGTAGCTGATGTATATTATTAGTCTTTAGCTGCTCTTAAGGATCTTGGATTTTTGCATTTTAACTTGCATTGTAACTTGCATTTTAACTTTTGCTGCAATGTGTCTAGAACTGAATGTATTTGCACCTATCATCCTGCTTAACGTATACTATGTTTCTTTATGTCTGAGTATTTATGTCTTTTATCAGTTCCAGAAAATCTTTTTCCATTTTCTCCTCAAATAGTGATTACCTATTCTCCATTCTGTATATTCTTTCCTTTTACAACTCTAATTAGAAATACATAGAACAGCATGACACATTTCCATGTCTTACTATTTGCCTTTGATATTTTTCCAACTCCTTGCCCTCTATTAAATATGTCTATATCTCATTCTGGATAACCAATTTGCTCTCCATCATTTTCTAATCTACCATTTAACCTATCCATATATTTTAAGTTCCAATACTTATATTTCTCAATGAAAACAACATTATTTGTCTTCTTTCGGGGGGAATCTTCCTGGTAGTTGATAGTCTCATGTCACTTGATCTTTTTTCATGGTAATGTTCATTTCTTTATATGCTTAATAACTTGCAGTTTGGCTGGGCTCAGACTGTAAACCTAGCACTACGGGAGGCCTAGACGAGAGGACTGACTGAGCCCGGAGGTTCGAGACTAGACTGGCGAACTTGGTGAGACCTCATCTCTACAATAAATCACAAAAACTAGTCGGGCATGATGGGGCGCATCTGTAGTTCCAGTTACTTGGAAGTCTGAGGTGGAGGGACTGCCTGAGGCCAGCAGATCAAGGCTACGGTGGCCTGAGCATGCCACTGCACTCCAACTTGTGTGACAAGAGTGAGGCTCCAACTCAAAAAAATAATAATAATAATTTGTATTTTATAACTGAAAACTCCTGTATCTGAAGTTACTGGGTATCTAAAGCTACTATTTGTGTTTTCTACTGATTTTACATGTGATAGTTTACTTCCTTGCCCGTTTGGTGAATTTCTGTAATTTTGAGCTCATGTAAAATTTATCTGAATCCATGGATATCTTGGAAGTAATAACTGAAGTACCTTCCTACAGATAAACTTTTGTTTAGTTTTCCCAGAAGCCAGTGGTAGGCACTAATGTAAAAACGTGAGTCACCTTCAAGATCTAAGCTTGAAGTGAAACTCAGGTTCATCACCTTCTCTCTGAGTGCCTCCAGGTTTAGTTTCCTATTAGCTGCAGCATTGACACCTGCATCTACCCTCAGTGCAACCTCACATTCCATGCTTAATACTCACTTCTCTCTAGCCTGTCTTCAGCTCACACTTGATGAAGGGGAAAAAAACACAAGCTTCAGAAATCTCTCTTAATTTGCGAAAGCCTGACAATACATTATGAAGTATGTTTTATCAAGTCTAGCTGTTGTATAAGGAGATAATCCTCCTACGTATGCCAAAAACATAAGTTATCACACTGAAAATTTTGTCAAGAAAAAACATCCTTCTATAGAGGAACGGGACACTATTGAATTATAAACAATAAATGAAATGCAGTGAGAAAACAAATTCCATGAGTGGAATATAACTCAGTCATGATCTAAGGGGTATTATAGGTAAATATGAAGCACCAAGAGAACTGTCCAAATCCCAGTTGCTAGCTGGATAGTGTTTCAGTTCAGCCAGATAAAACCGAGTTCTTAAGGAAAACACCCATACAGTGGAATCCACATTGAGATTTTTCACTCCGAGCTCTAGATCAACTCCTTCTTCTCAGCTAAATTTAGCTATCTTACAGCTAAATGATTTCCCATATTTGTACAGTTCACTGCTTATGCTAATTTTTACTACACTGTAAGTCTTGTATATAAAGCACTCAAAATCTAGACTTTTCCACAGGAATAACACAGAATTACAGTAGTTTCTCAACGTTAATATTTAACTAAAAATAGACTGTGTATTCAGGTAAACTTGTCCCCTTATTCTGCCTTAAAAATGGGGCATTTTGGGAAAATGCTCTGGTAGCAAACCAAGTTCTAAACATTCATGTGACCATTTTCTTCACATCTCTGGAGCCCGCATTGTGGCTCCATTTTCAATGTTGTTTCTTCACACTTCCCACCAAGCTAGCTCCTGAAACTATAAGTTTCCCAACTTCAAATATTTCTATAAGAACTCATAAACAGATTGGAGTTCAACGATTCAGCACCTCAAAGGATCGCTGGTCAGCTGAACTACATCAGGATATAAAAATAAATGCAAGAGTAGTTTAATGCCTTAGGTACAAATGCTATTTAATTTTTTCATTAATAAAATGCTCAGTGGCTGACTTAAATTCAAAATAAACAGAAAACTGTCATTTGGTGTGGAATCCTAGGTCCTTAAAAGGGTTCCGCGACCATGTAACAGTGAAAGATTAAAGTGTAACTCACCTTGGAGATATCAGCTTATTCGTAACTACCGTGAAGTAAAACACTCACAGGGACCTCATTTACATAAAGATATTCACGAAGTTCCTATCAGCCATCCTGCTACCATGTTAAATCATGCAGATACAGTGGTGAACTAAAAAAAATAATAGTCTCTTTTCTCTGGAGCATACTTTCATCACTGAATATTAACAAAATTCTGACATTATTCAGTAACACTTTTATTCATACCTTTATTTCTTGGGGAATTATTTGTTTACCTGAAATTTGTGGAAACCCTATTCTCCCAGACAGGTTTCTGAGCAAGGACCTCATCTACCTTGAGAAAACCTCTCGGCCACATGATCTGATAGCTACATGTATCAGAATGACTGTGCATGCCCACGTGCACAACACGTGTGTTTTGACTGATTCTCTCATGATTCAAGAAAATCATGAGGATGTCTCCAAAAAAGGCCTTACTTTAAAGAAAACAATGGTTGATCTACTTTTTGCATCACTTAAATATATATGCCCAATAGGTACATCCACACTAGTAAAGCTAGAGAAAAGCTGATGTCTGCTAGTCTCTGAAATAAATTAACATTCAGCTAACATCAGAGGAGCCAGAAACACTCATTGCAAGTGTGAACACATATTTGATTGCAGGACTGTGTCTTTCCTAGGGCTGACCTTATAAATTAAACAGTGTAAATCTCAAGTCAGTGTTTTCTGAACATTTTGATTCACTGTGAACATTAGAATGCCCTTCAAATTAACATCTCACATTATTAGCCTATTGTTGGACATGAACTGCTTCATTACTGATCACTGCAAACACACACACACACACGCGCGCGCGCACACACACACACACACACACACACACACACACACTTGCACTGACACACAACTCTCAAAAGGAATAGAAGGAACTGTTTAAAACCATGGGATGTAAGAACTGAAATGAACACATTTTTAAACCAGGATATTGAAATCATAAATAAAGCTCTTTATTTTGATGCCTAGAGGCATAATAACAAGAGGTACTCAAGAGTACTAAGTAATACCTGAGCACACTGCACCACCAGGGCTTTGCTGAACTAATTCCTGCTATAACCAAGGTTCAGTTGAAACATTCCTCCCTCGGCAGGCCTTTCCTAATCCACCATATTGGACTGTGTTGTCATTTTATACAAACATACTGCTCTGTTCACTGTTCATGACACTCATCCATCATTTTTAGAATTACCTATTAAGTGCCACACCTTCCTGACTAAACCAAAAGTTCAATGAATGCACTGACAATGTTTGTTTTCTCCTGTATATACAATGGTATTTTTGTAATTAATTAATAAATTAGTACATAAAGAAAATAAAGATGGATATATATACATACATATATATGTGTGTATATATATGTGTGTATGAATATATATATATATCTCCTAAACTCACCTCTTGAAAGTACAACAGATTAACTAGGAAAATCCATGTTTGTAAAGAAAACAGGGTGATGGTAGAAGGAAAACACCAACAAGTCCTGATTCTATTTAAGAATCTGAAATAACGTAAGCAGTGTTACCTGCTCAGAGGAGCAAGCATGCATCAAAAGTCACTCGTGTGACAAAATTCTCACCTTGAGATTATTGTGTTTATGCCAAACAAGGATACTGCAGAATTGTCCAAAGCTGGAAGAACATTCAATCTCGTTTTAAAATAAAAATGAGTAACGTCTTCAAGATGACTGTTTCTCAGTCAGGATAAAGAAGAGAATATATTATAATAGTACCTTTCACCTGGGAGCTGCTCTGTCAAAAACCGTAGGATGTGGTATACTCAGCAAAAACAAATACACGGATTACAGGAAATGAAGAAATTCACAGCATTATTGGCATCACTGTGAATTTTAAAATACACTCAGTAAATGGTATAAAACAGCATGAAATCTGAGTCTGTGGTCTAAAACAAGTGACCAAATTAAAATCTGCAGTGATCACGTGTAGTAATCCATCACCGTAATTCCATGAAGGATCTTGTTATGTGTTGCTGTCTTATAACTCTCAGGTCAGAATCACTCCCAACAACTCCTGGCTCAGCTCTCTTTCCATCTGTGAATTCTTTCTATTATTTTCCCCCTTGGCCCTCCTCCCACACAGCTCACCTGTAGTGTCGGGAAATCTCTTCCTCCACCTGGGTAATGAAATCACATTTGGTGCATGAATGTTCTTTGCTTTCCTTGACGGCGGGCTGCCCGTCCGATCCTTGCAGATGATTTGCTTCCTGCTTGACGTCTGACGCTTGGGCCTCATGCACACTCTCATAATGGAATAGGAGCACATCTACGTCAGGGGTGGTGAAGGAACACTGGTGGCACTGATGCTTGACACGTGAGCTCCCGGCCGCCCCAGGAGACAAGTGCAGAAGCAAGAGCGCACAGTGGGAACAATTACTCTTTCTACAAGCAAATGGGTAAGTAATTTCTCCAAGGTGCTTTTCTGGGCTGCAAAGTCCTCTAGGACAGAATGGACAGTGTTTAATGGTACACTTGTGAATGTTATGGAGCTGCTGATAGTGACGGAGAAGTGGCCCCACCACAATGACATCAGGGCCATGGCTTTTGGAATATCGGAAGTCGCAGAACTGACAGTTGTAGCTGGTAACCATGTTGTCCTCGGCGCCCTTGCTGGAGAAGTCCTTCTTCTTTGTCCCACCAGAGCTCTTGTCTGCCTTGGTCACAGTCTCTCCTTCTGTACTTTTGGCTAGGTCATTCTGATTAATGACAGAGCCCCTGACAAGCTTGTCGTTCAACTCTGGGTTAAGGCCACCTGACTGCACCGCTCCATGCTGCTTGCTGTAATGTTCCAGCAGTTTCAGGGAGCTAGATGACTCACAGCTGAAACTGCAAAATTTACACCAGTAATAACTGGTGGCCTCCGTACCATTTTGTCTGGAGGAATCGAGGGGCTTGATGGGCACTGAGTAGCCGACAGGAGTGTCATCTCCCGTCTTGACTGTTATCTTGTCCTGCCATTTCCCCAGGTCTCCAGAATCACTGGATCGAAGTGCAGGGATGGATTTGTTCGAGTTTTTCTCTGAAGACTTTGAACCCTCAGAGGAAGGGAGAGAAGATTTTATTTTGTTCGGGTGAGTCTGAAGAAAATGTTGTTCTAGTTCGGTTGATGAGTTGCCCATATAAGTGAAGTTGCAGAATTTACAGCGGAAATACTTGGTGTTTCCTTGGCAATCTGGCGTTTTCCGTCCAATGCCAATGAATGTTCCACCTGAAGTGACCTGGAGAGGAGTAAAAATAGGTGTTACTTTAAACGTGTCTTTAACTCAATGGGCTCCTTGCAAGGGACAAGGCAGGGGGCGTTACTGACAAGTATGCCACATCAGAAAATACAATAGTACTCCTGTGTATTATGAAATCACTTGAATAATCAGAGCCAAATAAAGTCACTCTTCATTTCTTAACAGCTACTCTTTGAGAGGCTCATTATGCTAAATAGTTAGGTCAAAGTAACAGGTGAAGAAAAGTTATAAATGCATTCTTATTCAAAAGAAGATTTAACGATACAGATTTTTTTAATGAAGAAAATAATTTTTAATCAAGTAGGTTTTACAACTGCCTCCTTCAAATCCCATTTCTGCAGAAGCATCCAAATCACATGGGATTTCTTTTCAAAAAGCTTGGAGTTGCTGTCAAAACCAGAGGCCGTCACTTAGAGATTATTCAATATCGATGTTCTCTAAGGAAATCATCTGTTCAATTTCTACAGCAGGAATAAGGCAGAAGGAAAGGAAGGATGTGGTCTATCTTTTGGGTAAAATAAAAGAACTAAAATGACCACGCAAAATGGCTTATAATTGAAGTCCAAGCATGCACAATTCACCTAAAAATAAAATGAATGGATTGGGCAGGAAATCTTGGTTAAGGAGGACCCATGGAAAGAGTTTTAAATGTTTCCCAATCTAAGACAAATGAGAAGCAGCAGAGCTTCCAGAGACTTCTCTCATTAAGCTGTCTCATGGTAAAGGCTCCCAGAGCTTCTGTGAGTAGGTCACAGGGATGCTTAAACACCAAAATCAAATCATTCCACCACAAAAATCATTGCAACTCTACTTTTTCTTCCTCTAAGTTATCAAATTACATCACATCATGGCTTTGAAGCCTGTCGACGCGCACTTTACAGAAAACTCCTTCCTCTGTCCTGAATGTGCCCCCTCAATGGGCAGCTCGATTAAGTGCCACCACTGAGCAGCCACAATTTACGGTTTAAATAGAGTTTTAGAATGAAATGCTCCAAAAGGAGAGACATTTTCCCTTCCAACCATCAGTGAGTTTTTGAATTTTTCCAGCAACCAGATGTAATATATTAAGCAAGTGGCATAATCATGTTCTGCCTTTTTCAACAGCTGTTCAAAAATGATACATGTAATCGCTACTTGTATCCAAATCACTTCATGAGAAAAGTCTCAGGCATCTCAAAAGGCAT